AAAATGCCCAATTTGTTTGGATTTAAGAAGACTTATGAATCATATAAAACTTATCTAACCCATATCGACTGTGTTAATATTAATATTTTTGTCCTCAATTTCTGATGATTAGTACATTCATTATGTCAGAGCAGGCTTTTTATAGGGCTCAACAGTTCTCGTGGTGTGAGCTCTTGTTTTCTTTGCTTTTAAGAGTATACTATATGTTTTTGATTCCAAGTCTGATGCATTAGGTGATATTTTAGTTAATCTTTTAATTATTTACTATCTACTAGAAATCATAGTGGCATCTTATTGTTTTCATTTGCTGTTTGTTCAACTCACCGTAAAGAGCATGAAAGCATATTTTGGTGTACGTCACATAAAGCTCTAGGTTGCAATTCAGAATATTTTTCGATCTTGTTTTATCTAAGAGCACTTTTACTTTAACTGATAGGTCCTCAAGATGGCTAAAGCTCTTCAGAGATTTGGCATGAAAAGAGCATTGGTTGTCCATTCGGTTGGCTTGGATGAAATGAGCCCCCTTGGTTAGATTTCTTCCTCCCAGAATTGTGAACTTTCTTTCCTCAATATGCCGTTATGATTTTTGATCATACTAATATCTCCATAATGATCCAAATACAGGACCAGGATTGATCCTTGATGTCACCCCAGGAAATATAGAGAAGTTTCAATTTGATCCATGTAAGATCCTAAATATAGTTGCCTCCTTTTCCGGAGTAAATAAAAGCAGGTCAACTGCAATTATGTCTTAAGTAGTGTGGAATGAGGCTGTTTGGTAGGTGTGATATCACAGTTTGAGTCGACCATTTCAATTCCTGTTTGGATAGTAATACACCCCGGTAAATGTGTATTGAACAGTGGATTTTGGCATTCCTCGTTGCACTCTTGAGAGCTTAAAAGGTGGATGTCCGGAGTATAATGCCAAGGTATTGAGGAGTGTACTATCAGGAGAAAGAGGAGCAATTGCAGATGCCCTTGTGAGTTTTGACGCTCTACTTACCTCAAGACTCAAATGAATGCTCTCAATCTCATCTCTCTAGTTACATAACATACAGCATGCATTACACTTTCAAGTAATACGATGAAAAGAGTACTGATTACACAATATTTGGTTAGATTATAAATGCAGCGGCAGCTCTCTTGGTTAGTGGTCGTGTTAGCACCCTGGCGAAGGAGTGACCTTGGCTCGTGAGGTTCAATTATCAGGAAAGCTGTTCAGACACTCGACTCATGGATAGAAATTTCGAATGTAAGTGAAGTCTGGGTTGTGAGCTCATATTACCTGTCTTGAGAGAGTACTAAGTGATATTCCTGGGTTTGACAATTGCAGAAGATGTTAGGAGACTGATATAGCAAGGGGTGCCTGAAATTGGATCAATGGCGG